TACCTTTCACTGCCATAGACAGACCTTGAGTTTCATACGAGGTTTATTGAAATACTTCATGCTCGTCAAGCTTACAACCACGAGTTATAAACTTAGAGAATGTAAGGACAATAACTTACCTGGGTACACTGGCCTTGAGAGCCGGTTCTTCCCAAACATTTTGTGACCTAGAACAAAAGAGAAAGTTATATACGCATCCGATTTAATTTAACACTCTTTTCAACCAACTCAACATAACATAACATAACATCACATCCCTAAACATCTGGCGAATATTGAGCAACGTAATTCGCTTAATTAATTAAGGTTAAGTAAAATACAAATAAAAGAAACATTTGAAAAAAGTTAGGAATTAGTCTTAAATAACAGACAACGGGAAACTTCAACTAAATGGATGGATTCGTCAACAACTGTCGAGATTTCGCCGGATTATATCCGCAACACCAACCAAATATCTTAAATGAACTCAGGAAAAACTTAAATATGACTTGCTCTAGGAATTTGACTCAGCTAAAACTTAACATTAGCTTTTAGACGAAGAAAAAATCAAAATACCTTGGCTAGTTTTACAGGCTTGTCCATCGTGCAAATATGGAGGATGTTAGAGGAAGAAACCACGTGGTCAAAGTAGCTTCATAATGCGCACTGAATGCTGGGAAAAAAGAGAACTCGATGAATTGAAATGATATCATAACTCCATGTAAATTATCTAAAGAAAAACAGCTTAGTTATCCTATCCGCCCACTTTTATTTGCATTTAGAGTTCCAAATTTGAGGTTTTTTGGCTATTTATCTCCACTTCGAATTACCGAAAAGACTTTTTGGCCGAGAAGGCCTAGGTAGAAATCTCCCATGATTCCATGTAAGCTTGGTTTTCTCTCAAGATGGCGACGGCAACGAGAGCTATTCAAGCGATTCGGAATTTTCTCATTGGCGTAAGCATACCTGAATACTTAGAAATTGTGTACTTCCTCACAAAGGAGTTTCCATTGATCCTTTCTCTCTCTTGCCACAGAAAAGACTGACAGTTTCTTCTCGTTATGCGTACGATCAATCTGCAAGGTAACTTTTTCGTGCTGAATTGCATTTGTTTTGAACACTACTTCTACGTCAGGTTGTTCGCCGTTTTCAGACACGTAGAAAAGTTAAATTGTTTATCCAAGCATATTGGCATATGTAGATGGGTGGGGGTAGGGGGGTTGTTAATATAGAGGAAGAGTTTATGAATCCATTTATAGTAATCAAATTTTTGAACAATTTCCTGTAATAACTGATTCTTGGTAATCAACAACACATTCTTATAGAACACAGCCGAATCCTAACATCCCAGATGGTCCTGCTCACAAACTAAGTCATAATTACTACTGTGACCGAGATCTGCGTCGAGCTTCAATGCCACCAGTTGTATTGTATGGCCAGCAGAAGCTGCTAGAAGAGGCTGCAGAGAAAGGGTGAATAGTTCTTTGAATTTTTCAATATTATTTTGATAGGAAATGTTCTCTAATTATTTAAGAGAAAAGATGGGTAACTGTGTGTAATATGTCAAGTGAAAGTAAACTTAGTGGAAAATAGATCAGAAACTGGGAGGTATGCTGTCACGTTTCTCTTTTTGAGAACTGTTGTATTTTTCCTCAGTGAGGTGCAATGGCCTCATGATTAGAGTGCTCAACTCCAAATCAAGTGCTTTTGGTTTCGAACCCTGGCTGTGGACATTGTGTTCTTAGGCAAGACACTTTACTCTCGCAGTGCCTCTCTTCACCTAGGTGTTTAAATGGGTACCGGCAAATTTATTGCTTGGAGGGGGAGGGGGGGGGTAGCTCTGTGATGGACTAGCATCCCATTTAGGAGGGAGAAGAAATACACTTAGTCATTTGGTGTTATGGAAACTGGAGTTAAGCGCCAGCTGGATGGGCTACTTAGCTTGTAAACAGACTTTACCTTTTTTTTTTACCATGCTTGTGCTCATCACTCTCTTGGGATATTAAGGATTCTTCCAGGTATAAATTGAATCTCTATGTTCACCTCCTCTCAGTTTGCTAAATTTCTTGGATAATATGAAATAATTGAGATGACATCAGTACCTGAATTGGTCCAAAATTTGTCATTTATCACACTAGTAAACCCAAAGCTATTTTATAAAAGCAACAGGCCACATTTTCTATTGGTTCACTGGTATATTAGCCACTTGGGATGTTAGGTGAACATGAGGAAGTTTGTAAATCACGAGTAGGAGTCAAGTGCTATACAAACCTTCCTGTGTCCTCCTAACATCCCACATGGAGTATTATGCTAGTAAATCAATAGGTGTGGTTTGTTGCTTAAAAAGTAAACTTTTTTTTTCTATATTGTGGAGGAAATTAGGTAGCTTATGTCACCAAAATAGGAAATGCAAGGTGCCCTGTTTAGGGATGGTTGCAGTTTTTTTTTGAATTTTTTTTTTTTTCAATTTGGATTATGCAGAAGTCTCATTATTTGTCAATTTTTATTTCTCAGTATATTTTATATGTTGAATTTACCAGTTTTTTTTTCATTTTTTTTTCTTTAAGGGGAGAAGGAGTCAAATCACTAGCTGCAAAAACTCCAGGAAAAGTGTTCAATCCAGATCAGTGATGGCTTCTGGAAAAGCTATCATGCTGTTGTATCTGGGATAAACTATTATTTCCACTCTAAATTTTTCTTTTTTGATGAACTCAAGATTTTCCTCTGAACAAGCAGGAGTGTCATATGAGAAAGAAATAAGCCCAATATTTTTTTCTACTGGGCAAAGTCTGTTCCTTGTGGTTTTCTAAAATTATTAGAACCGTGGCTGATAGTATTTATAGCGATTTGAGTTTTGAGTGTCTTAATGCCAAATTGTGGATTTTAAGGAGTATAAATCAGACCTTTTCAGACTGGCTGACTTTAAGTTTGTTGAAACCATTACTTTCTTGAGATGTCAAGTCTTAACATCCACTGAATTTTGTGTTTTAAAATTTCATGTGATGTTCTGTATGGGTTTATTTCAGAGTTAAGGTTAAATATAAATGAGGTATTTGGAATTCTGTTTTGTATATAATGTAATTTAAAAGAATAAAGGTGATTTCACAGAAATCTGATTTCTGACAACTTGTGAATCTTCTCTAATAACAATTAAAACCTGTATGTGCCATGGTAGTCTGGACTTAATGACAGGCAATTTAGCATGGCAAAGTAATAGAATATTTAATAAGTGAAAAAAATGGGAAAAAATTGTCTTTGCCTTGCTGAGTTTTATGGCTACCAGAGCCTGGTTGTTCAAAGAGCAGATAACACTATTCAACAGATAAATCGCTATTGAGTGGATGAGTGTTACCAAAAGGTACTGTGCAATCCACCAGACAGAAATTTTTCCAGTGTATAGCATTATCTGCCCTTTGAACAGCCAGGGCCTGGGACATATATATGATTATTTGTGAACTGCACAAAGCAGCCAAAGGTAAAGCTCTTCCTGTAGACTCTTGTGTGAAATCTTAAATGTAATGGGAAAGAAAGAGTATTCTCAATAAGTCTGATACGATAACATGACATCTCACATCAAGGTCCAGGGTTTACTGGCTTGTGAATGCTGGAGAACTAAGCTGTTTAAGAAGGAAGTAGTTTTCACTTTCTGCAGTGCTTTTATGTGTATAGATAATCCTGAGCTATATACGACTAATTACATAGAGGGCATTTTACATCAACTTCGGTAATTATCCCACAGGCATTTTACATCAACTTCAGTAATTTCCCTCTATAAAATTACTTGTATTTGAATACACTGAAAAGGCTCAACTCTGGCCAAAAGTAGTGTAATTGCATTAATTGCAATTGTTTATTAACAGGGCTGGTTTTGCTGCGCTGGAGTAGTGCGAGGAAAATAACATTTCATTCAGCTGATTCGCGCGTTTTACAGTTCGTAGACGCGAACTGGACATTAAAATTTTGAAAACTGTTAGATAGTGAGCGTGTAGAAAGCTGCTAATGACCTTCGACCATTATATAGCGCCTTGTTCTTCACCGGAAGTAAAATGTATGAGATACGCGCGACCGGAAGCCAAGATGTTGTGAACACAGCGTGAGCTTTATTGACAGCAAAGGCCCATTTTGATAAGACAGCCGGTCATCTGCATGTTTATGTGATCATTATGCCTGTTCATCTTTTCGACTGTCTATGGACGACGCCCGAATTCTTGTCTACTCCTTTCCGAAAATATGTGCTAGTACTGATGTCTTGGTCGAACTTAGAGGGCTGAAGAACCGTTTTAGTTAGGCATTGTTTGTGTTTTGATCGTCATTATGGCAGAAGCAAGATCGGCGGGAAAAGGTTCTTATGTGTCTTTATCGCTGGAAGATATGAGGGGCTCGAAGCGCAGTGAAAACGACAGCGAGGATACAGAGAGCAAAAAGGGGACTGTTCATTCAATCGATACGAGGAGCTTTATGGATGATTACTTGATAGAGTTCAACGAAGTCTTTAGAAGACAGGTAACAGCTTTAATGCAAGGAGGATCATAACATTGATTATGTTCAATGTGTTCTTTGAGGTTGCATGTCCATTTGAGAGAATGAATTTCTATTTATTTAGCTAGACGTTCTTCTTTGTCATTTTGCGAGCCGTGTTTTTTCATGGAGCTAAGTAGAAATTAAGGGGGGTGGGGGAGGGGTGAAGTAGGGGACTCAGTAGGGGTGGAGTAGGGGATTAGGGCCGAGAAAGGAATTGAAGCCTCACCTACAAAGTGATATACACAGGAAAGGATGCTGGTAACAACAAGTATAATGTTCAGGAAAAAGTAACAAAATGCTTTTTTTTTTTTAGGCTTTTAAGGGAAGGACTAATAATGCAGTATCTTTCAGACAAAATTTCTTCACTTGAATCCAAAATTGTCTCAATTAACCCTTTTACTTTGCTCTGACCTGGGCTAATGCTCAAAATGTCAGCTTTTGAACCCTTTATAGTGGCCAATTTATCAGCTCAGGTGATAAAACCAAGTAAGCTTCAGAGAAGGGGGTAAGTTTCTAGAGAAACTGTGGTGCTGTGTCAGTGGGGGTTAAACAAGGTAATTTGGTAATATCAACTAAGTTGAAATTGTAAATTGGCCACCATAAAGAGTTAAAAAGCTGATGTTTCGAGCGTTAGTCCTTTGTCAGAGGGAATGGAGGAATTGTGGGTTGTGTGTGGGTTCATATGCAGAAAGTGAAGAGCTCTATGCTATTGGTGGGAGCATAGCGATTCATGTTTTTCTTGTCACCATGCTCCCACCAATAGCGTGGCTTCACTTTCTGCATATAAACCCACACAAAACCCACAATTCTTCCATTCGCTCTTACGAAGGGCTATAAACGCCCGAAACATCAGCTTTTTAACTCTTTACAGTGGCCAATTTACAATTTCAACCTAGTTAATATTTAACAATTATTCCACGAGCGCGCGTTGGATATGAGATGATAGATAGCCAATGAGGCGCATAGTGCCAAGCTGGCTATAATCATCTCATATCTAACAAGCACGAGTGGAATAATTGTTTTATTTAAAAAAATGCCCCCAAGATATTAGACAAATCTTCTCGCCTTTATTTTGTAAGAAGAAACCGAATGTTACAATGTACAGATATTAGATCATGGTATATTGGCTCATATACCATAATGGCTAACCCAATAAAAAGTCTTGAATTGCATTATCCAATGATCCAGTTTTTAATAATACTAAATAACCTTCAGAGAGTTGTTTTCAGCTCCGTGACATGTTTTTTACTTAATGTAGGTACGTGAGAAGTATTGTTCTACAGAGGAAACATCTTGGAGCAATGCGGCAGATGAGGTGAAAGTTGAAATCTTGATAGCAAGATTTGAAGAAGGAGGAAGGCAACTTTCAGATGATCCTCTTCTTGTTTTACTTAAGAAATGGCCAGCAAGTGAAATGTTTTCTGATAATCCAAGATTGGTGGAGGCAGAGGTATGTTTTCACCTCTGTATGTTTTAACTCCTTATTATATCAACTGCCTCCCTGTTAGCTCAATTAGTTAGAGTGCCAGACTGTTGTGCGGGAGGTCAAGGGTTCCAGCCCTGGCCAGACCAACACTCAAGGTCTTAAAATAACTGAAGAGAATGTGCTACCTTTCTATAATATCAAGAAATGGATAGACATTCTAGTCTTCTCGGATAAGGACGAATAAACTGTAGGTCCTGTCTCCTGCATCTATTAATTAGTTAATTTGGTTAGGCAGGGGACATTTAAGAACCCACTCATGAGATAACTGTGATGTGGTCTGGCCTGCATGTTTACTGTTCCAGGCCCATAGTAATTGGCGTAAGCTGTTGCGGAGTCCCTGCCTGTCGGCAAAGCCTAATAAAATAAGATAAATAGAAGAATTATCATATTGAGGCTATAGGAGACAGTAGCCACAATGATTCTCATTACAATATCAGTGCAGTGGCAATTGAACTGGTAACAAGAATACACAAGTTCATCACCCAAAGGGTGTTATCTGAAAAAAAAAATGTAACAAATTCTCTTAACTCATTTTCAAGGTGTTTATCGCCTTTATGCAGGAGAATTTCTCATCAGACTTATGCAGTTAAAGAATTGTCTTTATCATTGAATTTGAATCTATGAAAATCATATAATTATGTGTACTGCTGTTTATCTGCAAAAAAAAATGGAACAAATTCTCTTAACTCATTTTCAATTGGGTGTTTACAGCCTATGTGGGAGAATTTCTCATTAGACTTAATATGCAGTTAAAGAAATGTCTTTATCACTGAATTTGAATCTATGAAAATCATTATGTGGTCTGCAGTTTTAAGATATGTATGAAAGCAATCCTTGCACTAATGAACACTACTTATGTAGTATAGAAAATTGTCCTCATCTTTCTCTTTTTTATATCCAGGTAAATCGTCTAGTCAAAATAATTCTCTGCAAAGATGAAGCTAAGAAATACAAGTTTTTCAGAGACAAAGAAGAGCTGTCGTGGAAGACACCACTCCACCTGGTTGCAGAATTAAACTTCACATCTGTGGCGCAGACTATTTTAGCTCACTACCCTGGGCAATTGTACATAACAACAAATCCACATACAGGAAATGATAATAGTAGAGGCATTCCTCTAAAGCTGGCATTGAAAAGATGCAATGATGAAGTTTCAACTCTGTTGATAGAGCACATGAAATCTGAAAGGTATTCTTATGGAAAGAAATAGGTGCGATAGTCATTTATGTTCATTTTGGATCAAAAGTGTAATGAAATCCTAAGACCATGGAAAATTATGAGCAATTAATGTTGGTTCTGTTAAGTGTTAGGTGAGGACGCTCAGATCCCATGTCATACTGCTTAACTTCATGACTGTGCAGAAAACTGGTGACCAGGTTGGTCGGGAACAAGCCATCTGTAGATGTGTTGGGAAGGGGGGGGGGGTATTAGCATCCTATCATTCAGAAGGGGTGAGAAAGAAGATGTTTAATTTTGACCTCATTCCATTCAGGTCCAGCTCCCTCAGCTCTTCCAGGCAGTCCAATGTACATACCCTTTTGCTTCTACCCTCCTACCTACTGCTTTGATTATTTTTTAACTTTTTTTTTAGTTAGATATATATAATAGTTTTTTTTTACTCTACAGGGTCCTGAGGCTGTTTTCTGATAATGTCTATGACATCCCTTTGAGCTTTCAAGAGCTTGTGAAACACCCTAATATGAAGGTGTGTATTCAGGGCAGGTGAGGGAGGCAGCCCTCTCAAGGAATTTTCTACAGAAAAATATAAAAGAACTTCATTAAGTAGATATAATGGGATTAAAAGATTATGGGAAACCTCCTTGAGACAAAGCAAAGATGAAAAAGAAGTTTACACTCAGAAAACTCCCTTTGGCATCCTGTTAAACACAATCCAGATCAATAAAAATGCAAAACAAATGTATAAGAGAACAACATAAGAGAGTGGCTTGCTATCAGAATTTAAGACCTGTGTAAAGACATACCTTTTTAACAAATTTTATAATTAGACTATTGCTTAGTGAGTTAACTGGTTATTTAAGTAGTTAGCTAGGCTGCTAGATAGTTGGTTAGTAAATTAGTCAATTAGTTAATCAGCTGGTTAGTTAGTTAGTAAATTAGTTAATTTCATTATAAGTTACAATTTTTACTCTCATTATTACAGATTACCTTATTAGTTAGTTTCTTTTACTCATATTTCTGAGATTTTTACGTTCTATAAATTTTATCAGTGTGATCTATAACACTACTGTACAGCGCTATTGAATAGTGACAGATATAGCGCTATATAAATACCATATTATTATTATTATTATTATTATTACTATTATTATTATATGCAAATTCTGTGTTTGCAAATTATGGATTTTGTTATCTCATTGTCACTAATGTAACCAGTCCCACCACTCCTTCCCTTTCCTACTCCTTTCAATCCTCTCCCTCCTCTCCCCTCCCCCCTCTCCCCTCCCCCCTCGTCCTCCACCTACTGGTCAAGAACTGTAGCTTCTACTCAGGTTGGCCATAAATCTGTTTTCTTCAGAAAACTGTTGTAGCTGTTCTCAACTGTATGGTTAGTCCCGATTGGCGACATTTACCCAAGTTCAGGGAAGACTTTTCCTCGCAAATGAAAAAGGACATCGAGCGTGCTTGGAGCTCAGAGCCGAGTGATCCAATCAGCTATCAATTTTACTTTAAAATCTTGGATGGTGATGAATACGGTAGAGACCCCACTCATGATGAATTCAACTGGATGTCAAAATCTTGTCTCTTCTTGATTGCAAATAGTCAAAACAAGGTAAAAATCATAAGCTTACTTGTAAGCCGTACCCTCCTCAGTCCCGAGGAGAAACGGAAGGGAGGGAATTCTTCCGTTTCTCCCCGGGGGAGGGAAGGGAGGGAGAGTCTAAGGCTACACGTAGGCTAAAGAATTACTTGCTCGCTTCTACCCTATGTTAGGAGCTTGCATTTGAGTGACGTGTCGTTTATCATTTACACCTATGTTAGGAACTTGCATTTGATTGACGTGTCGTTTATCATTTACACTGATACAGGAAGCCATTCAACATCCAGTGATCAGACAACTTGTCAAAAGGAAATGGATTAAATATGGTCATTTCTGGTTCAGGTGAGATAAAAAGACATACTATTTACCTATTGAATGACTTTGATCAGGCCAGACGGGAAAATAGCTGCTCGAGGTCATTACGTACGGTCTGAGCGCAACAAGGTCCGTGCTTCATGACCGAGGACCAAATATTTTCCTGTCCGGCCCGATCAAACTCAGTCAATAAGCATTTCATTATACGACCATTGCGTGTTGAAAATATGGACAATTTTGTTACAACCCAAAATAGGATGAACTTGCATGCAATAAAAAGGGCGCGCACCGGACAACTACTAAAAAGATTTTATAACAAAAACTTTTCCTTTTTTCCTTCGAGTCAGAATAGAGGGTCTCCAAGGGGTTTAGGGGAACAAGGGAACGTTGGCAAAATACTGAAGGAAACAAGGGAACATAAGCCTATTTTTAGGGAACAGGGGAACAAAATTGTACAAATTAGAGGAGAAAAAATTGTGATATAAGAAATAAAGACCGTTATTTCTGAGATTTTATTTATGGTCATTTATGCACTACTGTCATTGGTTTCGTCTTACTTTACGTACACAAGAAATCAAACAAAGACAAAGCAGTCAGCTGAGAGTCTGGGTGCGAGAAGATGGCGGGCTTGCAAGACAACTTACATCTGTCATTTTGGTTTTTTTTTTTTCCTCAGTGTGTTGACCTGTTTGTACTTGTTATTTCTCCTACTGTTGTCTTTCTCGTTGCTTTACGGCGCAACAAAACCAGACCCAACAAAATACCAGGGCAGTGCGGACGGGCTAAGAATGATCTGCGAGATTTTTGTTGTCGTGTGGATTGTGGCCTACATTGCTGACGAGATTAACGAAATTAATAAGTCAGTACATCGTCAATTGTTACGAATTGGTTTGTCGTGTGCTCTCCATCGTGGTTGAGGTTCCTCCCTCCGAGAGCAGTCTAAATTGACAGCGACTGACGTATCTATAAACTGAGGAATTGTCGTCATCAGAGTAGCGTGAAAAAGTTTTTTTTTTTCCTAGTAGAATGGTATTAGTCACACTATGAAATATCTTCCTCTTTCGAGGTCCGCACAAATTACGGACAAATGTTTTAACGCTCGGGTTTATATGGCTCAAGCGCGAAGCACGCAGGTCATGACTCCGAGCGGAAAACACAAGGTTCCCTAACTTTCAGTGTGGACCGATAAAGCGTGGATGGTAAGATATTTATTTTATTTCTGGGTTTAAATAGAGGAGGATGATTACTATTCTAACAAACTTTTGAATTTAGCGGACTGTACCTATGGTAAAATACCCGGCATTTAGCACCAAAGATTCTTGGTGCCCCCATAACTTATAACTCAGTTATTTAGCCTTTTTTTCGCGAGCTATGATATTTAGCCTAGAGCTCTTCCTTGTCTTGTTTGTCTTGTAGAGAACGCTGGAGTTACTTCAAAGTTCCACAAGTTTACTTCAATCTGTTTGACTGGCTTGGATTGATACTAATTCTGATAGTGATTCCACTTCGATTTTTACGGCATGAAGGCCAGTGGGTTGTCGCCTCCTTGGGCTTTTTCTTCAACGTCCTCCGGCTTTTCAAGTATTCTTGTGTCACCAGGTAATTTTCGTACAAGTATCCTAAAACCGTAGCCGGAGTGATCACAATCAATCAGAAGAAAGGTGAATGTCACAAGGAGCCAATCAAAATTCGAGGTGAAAACAGACCAGCGACCGAAGCGCGGGAAAACACGAGTGGCCAAGTTACGGTTGGTTTGAGCTTTCAATGTGATTGGTTGAGAGTAAGGTGCAAGTTTATTTAACCAATCACAGAGCTTTCGAGCTACAAAATGGCTAGTGACCAAAAAGCGCGGGAAAACGCGAGTGGGCTAGTCGTGATTGGTTTGAGATTTGCAACTGATTGGTTACGAGGATACGCTAGTTTTTGGACCAATCTCAGAGCAAGTTACGCAATGTCAAATGAATGCAAAATTATTTTCGACTCCCAATTGAAAATGGCTCTGATTACTTTGATGTTTTGTAGGGCAACAGGACTCTATACAAAGACGTTAGCCAGGATTGTGTATCGGGATATTACTCGCTTCAGCTGCGTATTTCTCGTCGTATTCTTGGCGTTTTGTGGAGCGTTTTTCCTGTCCTTACGAACAACAAGTGATGTGAAAGTCTTTGGGTAAATAGATCGGCTTTTTCTTCTTAGATTTTCCTTCTTCTTGTAATGGCTTGCTTTAGTAATGAAAACGTTAATCCTTGTCAAGAGACCGGAAATTTCACGATTCTTAAATTGACCAATCACACATGTACGGGTGCTTGTAATCACGCCGAATCTAATATGTGCGCAACCTTTGTCGAGTTACCGAAGCTTTTACGATTCTTTCACCCACCAATTAGCGTTGCACGCCTGTTCACGTATACGCCGAAGGTTGTCACATCGGGTCCTTAGGTTCGTTTTGTTGCCTTGTAACCTTTAGTGGAGAAAATTCAGAACGCTGTCTGTCTGGAGGCTTGAAGTCTAGCTAAAAGGCTGGCCTTGTTCTCTCTGGTGCATGGCGATCCATTCTTGGCGCTGAGTGTGCAAAGTTGGGCGTTAAATGGAATTGTTTTAGCTTGTTAATTTTTCTCTTTCTCTTTAATTAATTTAGTGGTTTCGATATTGTCATGTTGAGTGGTGTCAGAGCACTTGTGGAACAACAGCCAGCTGCAGATGATTATACAAAATTCAAGTAAGGCCTAAATTAATGTTGAAAGCTTGTATTAATAGCCATATTCCAAGGATTCACCTACAGAAAACTAAGTTACAACCACTTTGCATAGCATACATACCTGTTACTAGGCGAGTACCGCGTTCGCTCGGATTTATGGACTAAGCGCGAAGCGTGCGGGCTATAAATCCTAGCAGAGAAAAACGAGGTGCCGAAAAAACGAGGTATGTAAGATAGTTACTATATCTTTTTGATCAAATAGAGGGGGAAGATCTAAATTTGAACAACTTTTTTTAAATAAGCCGGCCATGCATTGAATTACGGTCACTCACTGAGAGTTAAAGGCAATGAATATGACAAACAGAGTTCACTTCGGTGGAAACTGAGATGTTATTCTATATATTTTCGTTACAAGATGGCTTCCAGTGTTTGTCCTTCTGATGTACATGATGGCTGTTGTGGTAATTCTTCTAAACATTCTGATCGCTCAAATGAGTAGTACTTACTCTGAGGCCAAGAAGAATGCCAGGCTGCAGTATGATGTCTACAGAATGCTCATTATCACAAGACTAGAACATAGCAGATTCCACAAATTCGTAAGTCTGTTAATTGAAGTCTTCGCCCAGTTTCTCAGCATTCCTGAAAGTTCTTATAGTAGTGCTTTAATTCATTTGCGCAACTTCTCTTTTAATTTTTCTTTTAACGCAACTGGTTTGGTGAGAATCCTAGCGTTTTTTGCTCTTTTGCTGTTTTTTTGCTGTTTTTATTATTATTTCATGGAACATTAAAAGCCAATTTACACAACCCGCATATAGCATTAGCTAATCTTGGTGGGTATTAGTAAAAAATAAGTAAATACTACACATTGTAAGCTAAAGAGATTTCATTACTACTACAATGTTAATGCAGTTATGAGCTATGAATTAGTTTACTACATTATAAGCTGAAAGATACGTACAGTTGTCATACAAATTAAATACAATAAAATTACCAGTAAGTTAAACAAGACATAGTAATCAAATACAGGCAGAGCAGACTGGAAAGTAGAGAGGAGAGAATTGTGACATGTGGATGTAAGCGAAGTACTACAGTTATAATTAACAATTATTGGCCGAAGGCGAGGTGAATTTCGTCCAATAATCCCTGAGACGAAGTCAAGGGGATTATTCGACAATATTCACCGAACGCGAGGCGAATAATTGTTTTAGTATAATTTCAGAGCTGAACAACAGAGAAATTTCTAAAATCATAACATTTTAGTAACATTTATTAATATTTTATTTTAACATTTTATATAAATCGCGTGGAGCGGTTTATATAGCCTCTTAGTATAATTTCAGAGCTGAGCAAAGAGTTTCCAGCGATCTGATTGGTCGAGCGGTTCCTTATATGACGCTATATAAACCGCTCCATGCGATTTATACAAAATGTTAAATAAAATGTTAATAAATGTTACTAAAATGTTATGATCTTAGAAATGTCTCTATTGTTTAGCTCTGAAATTATACTAAAACAATTATTCGCCGAAGGCATGGTGAATACCATCAAATAATCGACAACATTAACCGAATCTGAGGTGAATAATTGTTTATTTATAAGGCCTTACAATGTACAAAGGTCTTAC